ATTAACAAAGAGCAAGTAAATATTAAAATTTTGTAAAATACCATTTATAATAGCAACAAAAAATATGAAATACTTAGGGATTTATCTGAGTAAAAAGGAGCAAGACCTGTACACCAAAAACTACAAATCATTGCTGAAAGAAGTTAAAGAAGACCAGAAAAAATACTGAGATATACCTTGTTTATAGGTTGGAAAACTCAATATTAAAATGGTCATGGGCCGGCCCCGTGGCTTGGTGGTTAAGTGAGCGCGCTCCACTGCTGGCGACCCGGGTTCGGATCCTGGGCGCACACTGACGCACTGCTTCTCCAGCCATGCTGAGGTCGCATCCCACATACAGCAACTAGAAGGATGTGCAGCTATGACACACAACTATCTACTGGGGCTTTGGGGGGAAAAAATAAATAAATAAAATCTTTAAAAAATAAAAAAATAAAAAAAAATAAAATGGTCAATTCTCCCTGAATTAATCTATTTGGATGCAATACTTGTGAAAATCCCAGAATACTTTTTTTGTGGCAATAGAAAAACTTATTGTAAAATTTATGTGGAAGTGTGAAGGATCTAGAATAGTCTAAAACAACTTTGAAAAAGAAGAACAAAGTTGGAGTGTTCTTATGATTCCAAGGCTTATTATGAAGCTACAGTAATCAAAACACTATCCTGTTGGAATCAAGGTCAATGGAAAAGAACAGAAATTCCAGAAATAGACCCATACCTGTTGGACAACTGGTTTTTAACAAATACAAAGGCAATTCAGTTGAGAAAGGATAAACTTCATAATAAATGTTACTAGATCAATTATATATTCGTAGGCAAAAAAGTAAACTTCACCTCATTCCTCACACCGTGTACAAAAATAACTTGAAATGCAGTAGACTAAAGTGTAAAACCTAAAAGCATGAAAATTCTAGAAGGAAATATTCACTATCTTGAGTTAGGCGAAGATTTCTTAGATATGACCTCAAAAGCCTGCTTGATAATAGAAAAACAATTAATAAACTAGACCTCACCAAATTAAAACTTCTGTTTTCCCAAATACACTGTTAGAAGAATGAAAAGGCAAGACACATATTGAGAGAAAAATTTGCAAAGCATCTATCTGAAAAGGGCTTGCATCCAGAATACACACAGAATTCTCAAAATCCATCATAAGAAAACAAACAACTCAATAAAGAAAATGTGCAAATTTGAACAGACACTTCACCAAAGAAGACATATGGATGGCAAATGTCACATGAAAAGATGTTCAGCATCTTTTTTTTTTTTTTGAGGAAGATTGGCCCTGAGCTGACATCCATTGCCAATCCTCTTCTTTTTGCTGAGGAATATTGGCCCTGGGCTAACATCTGTGCCATCTTCCTCTACTTTATATGTGGGACGCTGCCACAGTATGGCTTGACAAGCTGTGTGTAGGTCTGCGTCTGGGATCCGAACTGCAAACCCAGGGCCGCCAAAGTGGAGGGCGCAACCTAACCACCATGCCACCAGGCTGGCCCCTCAGCATCATTATTTGATAGAGAAAAGCATATTAAAATCACAGTGAGATATCACTGTACATCTATAAGAATGTCTATTTTAAAACAAGTGTTATTAAAGCTGTGAAGGAACTGGAATTCTCATACACCACTAGGAGGAATGTAAAATGGTACGAGGACTTTGGAAAACAGTTTAGCCATTTATTAAAAAGTTAAACATACACCCTACCATATGATCCTGACATTTCACTCATAGCTATTGACCCAAGAGAAAAGGAGAAATGTCCATATAAAGACCTGTACAATGATGTTCACAGCAGCTTTACCTGGAATAGCCAAAAATAGAAAACAACCCAAATGGCCATGAACAGGTGAATGAATATGCAAATTATGCTATATCCATACAATGGAACCAAAAGGAACAAAGTATTGATACATGCTACAACATGGATGAATCTCACAAGAATGCTCTGTGACAGAGGTCAGATTTTTTTTAAAAGGAGTAAATACTGTATGATTCTATTTGAATGAAACTCTAAGAAGCGCACGCATTTAGAAGAACAGAACGCAGATCGGTGATTGCCCAAGCACAGGGATGGGGGCGGGGCAAGAGGGAAAGTTACAGCTGTGCACAAGGAAGCTTGGGGGATGGTGGATATGTTCACCCTTTTGACTGAGGTGATTATTTCACGGTTCCACACATATGTCAAAAATGACCAAACGGTACACTCTAAATATGTGCAGTATATTGTATCCGTGTTTCAATTATAGCTTAATAAAGCTTTTATTTTTTAATCCACAAAGATCACAGCAGGGTGCAGTTACCCACCAGTGTCAATCTATCCCACAGGGTATTTCCATTTCCGCTTTGGTTTTCTTCTCACTTCCACCACTGATTTATTTCAAATGATGGCTAAACTCCAAATTCATAAAAAAATTTTTTATCACCCCCTCAGACTTGGAGAGGGTGTTCTCAGGAAAAGAAATATTCAGCAATTTGCCCCGCTGTACGCAGCTTTGCCTTGCTGCGGTCAGTCAGCCTACGTCTGTTTTCTCAAGGTCAAATCACATCCACACAAAAGATATTATCAATTATCTTGGCTTTCGTTATTAAAACGGCTCATCAAACATGACACTCGGAATATGAAACACTTGGTTTGACCAAGGCAAGAGAAACCAACCAAATTGGATGATTATGCCTAATTCTAAGGTCACATCTATAAAATTAAAATCACATTGTGTTATTTTATGTGGATAAGTGGGACTTTTTTTTTTGCATTAACTTTATGAAGATAAGGATTCTCTAACCTATAGAAACTCTTTCTAGCAGCCAATAGGTTATTGAGCTCTCAGGATTAATAATAAAGGTAATTATTAAGCAATACTAATTAAGGTTTTATAGTCTTTTACAATTTACAACATACTTTCCTAAGTTTTATCACCTTAGAAAATGAGGGATGACTCTATAAAGTGTTTTCAGCCTGTGGCAGAGGGCAGCGTGATCTGAAGCACAATTTATTTCTGTCTCTGATACTCATATACGTGGTTGCCATTGTGCAAGTCTTTTATTCCAAACGTCTCCGTAAACAAGACCTAATCAAATAGAACATGTCCGTCAACAACGTGCAGCTCACTTTATGGAGAACATTAATTAGTATTGCTTTATAATTTATGTTCTTTAGAGAACAAAATCTTCAAATTCCTCTATTTTTAAATAAACTTTGTATTTTAGAATAGTTTTGGATTTACAGAAAAGTTACAAAGATAATATGGAGCGTTACCACCTACCTCACATCCAGTTTCCCTGGTGTTATTATATTAGTGTCATACGCTTGTCACAACTAATAAACCAATGCTGATACATTAGTATTAACTGAAGCCCACACTTAATCCAGATTTCATCCATTTTCCCATACTATCCTTTTCCTTCTTCTGTTAGAGGATCCAATCCAGGGTGCACCTTACACTGAGTCCTCTTGTCTCCTTAGTCTTCTCTGGGCCTGAAAGTTCCTCAGACTTTCCTTGTTTCTCACGACCTTGACAGCTTTGAGGAGCACTGGTCATGCATTTTGTAGCATGTCCCTCATTGTGGGTTTGTATCATTTTCTCTCTTAGGCTGAGATTATGGGTTTTGAGGAAAAAGACCATAGAGGTGGAGGGCCATTCTTATCACACTATGTCAAGGATTACGTGCTATCAGCAAGACTTATCACGGACCATGTTAACACTGATCTCCCAACTGGGGTAGCATTTGCCAGATTTCTTCACTGTGACATCAGATTTTTTTTCTTTTTTTTACCTGCTCCTACTCTTCGGAAGCAAGTCACCACGCACGGCTCATACTCTCAGGGTGGTGAGTGGAGACCCACCTCCTTGAGGCTAAGTAGCTATATCAATTATTGAGAATTCTTCTGTATAAGAGATCTGTCTCTGCCTCATTTATTTATTTATTCAATCATTTCTTTATATCGATATGGATATTTATTTGATACCTTGGGTTATAATCCAATGCTAAGTTATTTATTTTGTTGCTCAAATGGCTTCAGCCTTGGCCCCTGGGAGTTCTCTCCCTTTGGCTCCTGTGTTCCTTTGACACATAACACCCCCTCCGTGGTTTTGAGTTTGTGAGCACGTTTTTTTCCTTCCGGGACTAAAAGATGCTCTAGGCTCTTCTTATATGTTCCTTGCCCCAGCCCTAGAATCAGCCATTTTTCCAAAGAGCCCTGGATCCTTTTACTGGAGAATGATATTAGAGAACATGAATCCTTTATTTCTGTGATACAAAATCTTTGCATATATTGCCAGTGGTACTTCCAAATGTGCACTGGAATAAATGGAACAGTAGTCCTACTGTGCTCTAGGGGCCTTGACAGAAATTAAAATGACTAACGACTTTTCTGGAATTCAGTGATGTATTTTTATCCTAATTTACACTCTGGTCTTTAATAATCATTTCTCTTTATCTTTTGAAGTCCTTAAGTAGTTTACAATCAAATCAAAATTGAATAACAAAAACAGTTTTCAATAAATCAGTTAAATAAGGTGTAACTCTAATCTTCTAACCTCAGTTTTTCACTCTGCTCTGTAACTGAAAGTTGTTACCCATGGCTGTCCCAAACTTTCACACCCATCTTCCCGATGCTCGATATCTGGGACTGGTTCTAATCACGGAGTTTAAACTTGAACGTAGAGAGAGATAAAAGTCTAATGCAATCTCAATAATAAGTACTGTTTAACTTTAAATGCTTTTAAAAATACATTGCCACTCACATACAAAAAAAAGATGAAAAATTCTGCACAGATGCAAATAATCTCAGGGGCCCCCTATTTTATGCATTTAAGTGTGAGTTACAGAAAAACTCCAACAGATATTGTTTCCATCAATAGTAGGTAGAAATTTCTGAACGTTTATCTTGAGAACAGTGTTCTGAAATATCTAGGTATGATTTGAAGTTATAAAACTATCTTTGACAAAAAAGTAATTTTAACCAACACTAGGTAGTGATGCCTTTTTCAAAGCACCAAAAGCTAAATCTTGAACTACCTTAAGGCCAGATGATCACAGCTTCAAAAGGCACGCTTTGTTGTGAACGAGGTGTTTTAGAACCACAGTCTGCTGGGGCTGAGAGGAACCTGCGAGTTCACACAGACCCAGTTCACAGAGGAGGATGTCAGGCATCAGACCATGTGAAATATGCTATTTTTAGCTTGTGTATGGAGGAGGATTTGTGGAGTGACTATGAAATCAATACCAAAAAATTCTGATGTATGGAGTGGTTAGGACAGCCAATTAATTCAATTAACAACTAAAATCATATTAAAGTAGTACTCAATTTTTCTTCAAAATACATTTTTTATTTGTTAGAAATTTATTGTTTGTTTGTTTTAAAGATTTTATTTATTTATTTATTTTCCCCCCAAAGCCCCAGTAGATAGTTGTATGTCATAGCTGCACATCCCTCTAGTTGCTGTATGTGGGACGCGGTCTCAGCATGGCCAGAGAAGTGGTGCGTCCGTGCGCGCCGGGATCCGAACCCGGGCCGCCATCAGTGGAGCGCGAGCACTTAACTGCTAAGCCACGGGGCCGGCCCCTGAAATTTATTGTTTTAATTATGAAGTCCTGGGTCTGCTTATCCTTTGCACACCAAAACAATTTCTCCACCAACCATCATATTTAATTCTTTGAGATCTTATTTTTAGCTCTATCAACATATCACATAGATTTTTAAAAAGCACTGGAATGGAAGCCTATAGACCAAAATTATAGACTCCCATCTGTCAATAACTCTCACATTCTCTAAGTGAGTTAAAAGCTCTGCCTCAGTTTCCTTTTCTGTAAAGCAAAGGGGTGAGTCTAAGGAGCTCCGAGGTCACTTCCCGCTGTAACATTCTGTGATTCCATTATTTTTATGTCCATTTTAAGAGAGCACTTCACCTTATGTGTCTGTCTATACATGTATTGACACAGAGCTTGTCATCCCTTTCCTGTTTTTCCTTCTAGCATTCTACTGTTTCTATGAAGAGAGTAGCTATCATTTGAAGAAGGCAGTCGTCCAAAGGAAAGAACTTAGCAGGACATACGATTCTGTGATCACGCTCTTTGCTTGTTTCTGCACTCACATTACACAGCTGAGACGCAGCCGGCAGCACCGCTGGGACCAGACCAGGAATGTAAAGGGATTAAGGAAATGTGCAATGGATTGCATGTCTTAAGCTACCGAAGTGTGTCAAATCTCGAGAAAACTGTGATTTTTTTAAATGTGATGTTGCCTCGTTGCCAGGCGGTCTGTATCCAGCACTTAGTGAAAGCAGGCAGCCCACTCTCATCATTATTATTGTGAACGACAGGGTGTAAACGCCCCGACCTGAGCGGGCCGGGCAGGACAGTGTTAACTGCCCCGAGCTTCACTAGAATGTACACCATGTGCAGGTGTGTAATTAGCCTCATGCTTTTTCTGTCCCGACCTGGAGTCTTTTTCTTCTTTTTAAAAGATGTTATAATTTAGTGTTCTGTTTTTATAATGATGCCATTTTTTTCCAATTGAGAAATATTAGTTACTTTTTTTTCAATAATCACCCTCTTATCTGAGTTCATCACTAGGAGAGAAAGATTGCTGCACATTATCCTAAGTAATATTTGGATAAGTCATCAGGCATCAACTGAAATTAACCTGAACATTCTCCCATGAGATGAAGAACATTTAGGCATGCCAGCTGGAAGGCATTTACAGTTTCATTTTTCCAACTTCCTCAGAAAATCTTTCCAGCGCACATCTGTGGCGGTTCCTTAATGATTCGAGTGATGCGGGCTTTGTGTGGCATTAGGGCACCCAGAGCCGTTTAAACCAACCTGAAGTGTCAGAAATGCACCCAAAAATGAAGAGCAAGAAGCTTCTCAATTCACCCTTGCAGCTCTGCCCTCTGGTTTGTGATTGACTTAAAGGCTCCTGCCAACTTCCTAAAAGGCGGCTCAGAGTGCGCAAACCTCTTGAGCATAGTGTCTGTTCTCTAGGACACCCTCAGTGTGATGATCATTAACTTTAAGACAGGAAGGACCCTGCAGATCACCGGGCCCAACCCTATTATTTTATAACTGGGGAGACTGGGCTCCGTAGAGACTGAAGAGATGACCCAAACCCGTACACCCACCTTGTGACAATGGGAGGACAAAGCCCAGGGCTCCCCCTCCAAGCACAACGCTGTTTGTACTATATCAGGATGCTTTCCTCATTCTTCCAAAATTATAAATATATGAATTATGTCGATAGATTGTATTCATATGTCAAGACTTCAATGAATCATGATTATAAACCCATGGTGATGTGCAATGCATTGTAAATATACTTTTAACAACACAAGAAAATTACTCTGGGTCACTGTGAAAACTGATTTATCCCGCAGTAGATAGACTTTACAGTACACGTATAGTAGATTATGGTAAGCAGTGACCCAAAATTTTTAATATCTTCTAAAGAAAATTATTTGATAGCTTTAATTATGTCCATATTCTAAATTAGATCTTTTCGAAATTAGCTTCTATTTAGGAAAAAGAGGAATTTAGCATCAGTTGTTAAAATCAGATTGCAAATACTGCAAAAACCCTCAAGACTTATGTATTCTTTCCTCTGCTTCTAGGAATTCCCATATTTAAACTATTCCGGATGTACAAGAATCTACGTGTTTTTGGAGAGCTTTTCTAAATAGTTTTTTTTTTTTTTTGGAAACGTTAAGACCTATTGAAGCTTTATAACACGGCGGAATCATATCTGGACTCAAATCCCACCTCTGTCATTTATTGGCCATGTGATTTGGGGGAAAGCCCTCTAAGCTTCAATTTCCCCCAAAGGTTGAAGAAATATGAATAGCCAGATCCTAGAGTTATGATGAGGATTAACTGACAAGCCTCTAGCTTAGAACCTAGCACTTAAAAGGTGCTCAAAAAATGGTAATTCCCTATAACTGCTCAAGAAGCTTTTTTTAAACACCAATGATATGGGTATTTACTGAGGATACAGTAATCACAATACCAGAATATATACTTTGGGGAAGCAACAGAAATATTACATGTGGTGCCATCCTCAGAGTTAGGAAGACAAAGCATCTACACTCATGAACAAAATGATCAGTATTAGGCAGCATGATTAAGATCAAATGGACAGACCAGGCACTGGTGGATAAGAGAGATATCTCACCAGAAGCTGGATTAGTCAGGAAAGACTTTGAAGACGTCTAGGTTGAGCCTTATGGAATGAAGTGAATTAAATAATATTCTCAGTAGAAAGAAGAGGACTGGGCTGGGGCGGAGAGAGGATGGGCCCAGTGAGCTAAGCCATGGAATTTGAACTGTTGCTCTTCTCAGTCTGGGTGGAGAGGAAGTTCACATACTGCACTACAGTTAGGCATCACTACTGTGAACGCCCCCAAGCTGGGGATGGGGAGTGATGTCCTAGATATTACCAGATCATCCAGATTGCAAATAATTTCCCATTTTTACCCATAAATTATAAGATTTTAAAAACTTGTCCCTGGCTACATCCCCCCTCCCAATGTGTTCACCCTCAGTACACGTCCTTACTTGTTGCAGAAGGAATGCAGATGGTGCAGCCCCTGTGGAATGAGCATGACGGTTTCTGAGGAAGTGAAACAGAGTTTCCATATGACCCAGCAACTCCACTCCCAGGTATGGACCCAGGAGAGCTGAAAGCTTACATTCATATCCATGAATGTTCACATCCCCTGTGGAATGAGCGTCACAGTTCCTGAGGAAGTGAAACAGAGTCCCCATATGACCCAGCAACTCCACTCCTAGGTATGGACCCAAGAGAATTGAAAACTTACGTTCGTATACGTGAATGTTCATAGCCGCAGCATTCCCAATAGCCAAAAAGTAGAAACAGCCTAAATGTCCATCAGCTGATGTTAAACAACAGGCAGTATATCCTTACAACAGAGCGTTCAGCTATACGAATGAAGTACAGATACACACTGCAACGTGGGTGAACCTTGGAGACATTGTGCTAAGTGAAAGGAGATGACACAAGAGGCCACAATTTGTATGGTTCTGTTTATATGAAACGTCCAGAGCAGGCAAATCATGAAGACAGAGTAGAGTAGTGGTTGCCAGAGGCTGGTGGGAGAGAAGATGGGAAGTGACTGCTAAGGGGCACAGGGCTTCTTTGGGGTTGACAAAAATGTTCTGCAATGAGGTAACAGCAATCAAAGCACAACCTTGTGAATATGCTAAAAATCACTGAACTGTACACTTTAAAATGGTGAATTTTATGTGAATTATATCTCAGTTTAAAAAAGTAGGATCCCAAGGGGCCGGCCCTGTGGCCCAGTGGTTAAGTTCTGCATGCTCTACTTCAGCGGCCTGGGTTCACGGGTTCCGATCCCGGACGCAGACCTATGCCACTCGTCAGCCATGCTGTGGCTGCATCCCAAATACAAAATAAAGGAAGACTGGCACAGATGTGAGCTCAAGGCAGATCTTCCTTGGCAAAAAAAAAAAAGAATGGCAGAAAGTTTTGGCCCGGGCAAATACACAAAAAAAAAAAAGGATCCCAACATGCAGAACAAACAAAAACTCATCTGTTCTCATTGAAGACTTGGCAAGTCAACCCTCTCCTCTTTGTGGTCCTGCCTTGAAGCCCTATCACCCCAAAGAAACCTGGAAACCACTCCCATAAACCTTGAGGACATGTCAAGTGTCCAACATGTCACCTGGGAGACTGCTCCTCACACCAGGGAGCAAAATCTTTATTCAGTCCTAATTACTCATTTTGTTTGGGTAATATGGACACTCTATCTAGAGGAAAAGAAACCATTAGAGGTTAGATTTTTTCTTTTTTTGCTAGGAAAGATTCGTGCTGAGCTAACATCTGTCGCCAATCTTCCTCTTTTTTTCCCTCCCCAAAGCCCCATTGCATGGTTGTATATCCTAGCTGTAAGTCCTTCTAGCTCTTCTGTGTGAGCCGCTGCCATAGCATGGCTACTGACGGACCAGTGGTGTGGTTCCATGCCTGGGAACCTAACCCGGGGCGTTGAAGTGGAGTGCGCTGATCTTTAACCACTAGGCCATTAGGGCTGGCCCAAGGTCAGGTTTTTTAGAGCCTCTAAAAGTGATTTCTCCAAAAAGTAATTGAGAAAAAAAGTAGATCAGGAGACATCATCTTTAATGTCTACACTGCCCAGCGTCTAGTTTGTTTTTAGACCTGAAAATTGCCTCGTGGTGTTTTGGGTGCAGGAACTGAAACAAGCCTATAAACGTATGCACACCCGTGAGCTGGCTATAACAAAATGGAACGTATTTTTGAGGAAAGCTTGGGGCGGGGGGACAGCAGGTAGCACCTGCAGGTCTAGCTGTCTACCACCCTCCAAGGAGAACAAAGAGAAGGGCACATGTGCCCACCACCAAGCCATCTCCCTTATCCGAATAAATCATTTCTTACCTTCATTCTTTAATTGTAACATGAGGAGTTCCCAAATGATTGTATGCTTGCAGGCCCAAAGACAGATTTTTATACTAGTGTTTACAAGTGGAATTACAAAGGCAGGCACTTCATGTGGCAAGTGGAACTGAAGGCATGAATCAGACCTAAGTACGTGATGATTGTGAAGACACTAGTCCCCCAGATATAATATGGTAGAGTTTTTGTGTTGTTTTTCTTTGTGTTGTCATTGTTGCAGTTTTGACTGTCAAAAGAGCAACTTTTCTTCTATTTTGTGTGTGTGTACCTGCATGCACCCCATTGAGTAGGCCACCCAGTGCCCCTGACGCCTATTCACACACCTGTGCACAGCTGCACACACCTGCAAAGCTCCTAGAGAGGTGTCTTTTCAGTGAGTATTCTTTTTGTTACATTGGGGATATTTCAGCTTCACTCCCGGGCCCACATTACACTTCCCCTTTGAGAGACCTGGAAAGATTTGTTCTCCACATCAACCAGTATGGAGGGTATAAGTAAGGAATTAGCACACAGGCTAGTACTGTGCTGAGCACTCTTCATGCATTATTTTATTTAATGCTTACAGCCCCAGGAGATAAGTTTATTATCAGCACCACTTTACAGATGAGGAAACTAAGGTGTAGAACAGTTGAAGAACTTGTTCAAGGTCACATGGTAATTATCAGAGCCAGAATTCTAATCTAAATTTAATCTGACTTCAAAGTCAATGACATTGAAACTCTTCATTAAACACAGCCTTTTGTAGAAATTTTGATGAAACTCTTTTGCACGCATTTTCTCCTAACATAGGAAAAGAAAGGCATAGAAAAATATTTGAAAGTGTGATGACTGCATTTTTTGGCCTTCTTAATATCAGGATGGGTAAGACTCAGAGGCATGATAGAACAGACACCTATTAAAAATTGGTCAAAAGCAATATATATATATATACACACACATATATATATACACATATATATATAAATGTACACATCAGTAATAGTGAATGGGCAAAGAATAGAGAAATAAAAGAGACCCACCAAGATGCATGTTGATAAGAAATGTAGGAAGGTTTCCATGCAAATGGTTCTTGTTTGGAAAAAAGTGCTTTTCAAAGTACCTTGGAAAAATGCATTGTCAGGGAAGAACGTGTGGGCCAATCAACCCTGTGCAGTTGGTTGTAGTCATTACCTTTTCACAGGGAAAGGGGAGAAGCATCAGTTTGCCACCCTTGAGACTTTGCTGGTGGTGGTATGAAAGGGACTTGTCCAGCCTGCTGTGAGATCAGGATGTTCTAGGAGGATGCCCAAAGTGCTCCTGGAAATGTGGCCTAAACACATCTGGAGGGCCATGTGCTTTAGCAACCACCAGAAAGACCAGCTTGATGACCAGCAAGATCCAGTCACTATAATGAAGACATTTGTGTATAGCCTAACACGATCATGACAAGTGCTCTGAGAGGTTCAGGGGATTCAATTGGTGATGTAAAAGAAACTTTCCACTCCAAACAAATGGACTGAAGGTATATTTTATTATATAGAGGAGAGTAAAGGCAATAGTCAGCAAATAGATCTGAATAGGTCAAATAATAAGAGGGAAAAACACCAGCTCGATAGGAAAGGGAAACACCAGATCGACTGAGATAGCAGCAGATTTGAATAGGTCATATAACAAGAGGGAAAAACATCAGATCGATCAGAAAGGGAAACACCAAATCAACTGAAGGGAAATGACACAAATCAACTGGAAAGAGAAACACCAGGTTGACGGAAAAGAGAACACATCAGATTGGTTGCTCACAACATCCACGCCCCACTGCCAGGGAGAGTCCCTTCAATTGACACGGCTGGGCGGGAATCCAATCATCAGAGGTCCTGGGCAGGGCATCCCCTCCACAGGTGAGACTCTCACCAGGCCTCAATTTCCAGCAGTTTATATAGCATCAGTAGTTTCCGGAGTAAACAGTTACAGAGTTTGCAGAGCCAGCATTCAGTGTTCCCATGCACAAATGGTTATCAGTGGCAGACGTGCACTGAGCCTCCTGGCTATCATCCCAGCCTGGCAGTTGTGCACATGCATTGTTTTCCCTGGTTATCGTCCCAGCCTGGCACAGATGGCCAGTCTGCCCCGAGCTATGACACCCAAAGAGGCTTGAAATGTTTGCAACTATCTCCGTGGGAGAAGGGCCAGTTCCCAGGAGAAAGGTCAGTTCTCACCACAAAGAAAGCAGCTTTATATTTCTTTGTGTGCTGGTGGCTGTAGGTCAATGGAGCAGCCAAACATGGCTGTACTCATGTCAAGACAACAAGTCTGACAAATCAATATGAGTTTCAATAATTGTGGTAATTTAACATTTTATAAATTGTTAAGAAATGAACACTGAGTGTCAGTGTAGTAGAATGAAAATGAAGTGGACCTGCGGGGGGTATTTCTACCACTTATGAGACCTTGGTCGAGGTCATCAACTCTGTGAGCCTCATTTTCATCAATAAAGTGAGGATCATTCAGAAAGTCTTTGTTGAACAACTACTAAGCACTCGGTTCTGTAGTTAGCATTGTGGGATATTAAAGAAGCATGAGACAGAGCCCACACCTCTCCCAAAATTTAAGATAATCTATATTTTTACTCCAGGAAATAAAAACATTGGTTAATGATAAAGTTAGCACCTCAATATTCTTAATCAAGTTGTCAGACCTCAGCTACTATGCCCAGTACAGTGGTGAAACCTTTATTTATTCCTCTTATTTTGTGAAGAAGATAAGGACTCAGCTCAGGGGTTACATTGCCTCAGGAAAACCCACGGGAAAGTTTTAGGAATGCAAGATACAGTTTTATGGACTAACCTAAGTGTCACTCCCATCTTTTCATTCTTAATGGTTATTAGCAACAGTCTCTGGAATCAGACTAATGAGGATCATTCTCCAGCTCTGACACTTACTAAACACTAAGTAACACTTAGTGACACTTACTGTTGATCTTGGGCAAGTAGACCTTGATTTTTTCCATCTCTAAAATGAAAATCATGAACACATTTTTGTGAGAATTAAATAATCCATGTAAAACACTTTAGAAGCATGGCTGACTTGTGTTAGCTATTATTGCTAACATTAACCTCTCCACACAGATCACTTAAGATGCAGGGTCCAGTAGGTGCTAAAATAGCTGCAGACAGTTGTGGATTTGTCTTCGCAACAAATGTCTCAACGCAGATTAGATTAAATATTCAAGTTACAATTTATCATTGATGCTATGCTGTGGAAATCTTGCTGACATGAGACAAAACAGAGTACAGAAGGCGGTTTTATACACAATTCGGTGTTTTATAATAAAGTTAATACAAATATATTTATGTGTATGTATGTCTTTAGACAAAGACAAATGCACATACACTTAAGCCAAGTATCAGTGTGCTCCTCCCAACAAAATGTGGCAGTGCTGTCCTTCCATACTTAGTGGTGATGACTTCCAAAAATGACCACAAAATAATACAAAACACTGATTAAAAGCAATGATATTCATCTGAAATACATACTTTTAAGAGCAGAGAGAGAAATAAGTGGTAGTCCAGGAGGAAAAAGAAGC